TATAAATTATTTCTTAGGAATAAAAATCTACCTCAGCTTATGCTCTAAACTACAGGGAGCCCTTTTACAAGGTTACAATTAACAACAGAGCCCAGACTTAAATTGAATTACTATTTATTTTTAAATATAATAATCAACGCTCAAAAAAAAAATCTATGCAAAACATGTAAATTGCACAAAACGCAGTTTTTAAATTAACTTCTAAATGATAAAAATGTTATTTGTTGTTGAAATATAATCATTTACACAGTGGCTCTCATAACTTTTGGATAACAGATTTATTTAAACATACATTAAATAATTAAGACAATAATTAAGTAAAATATAATGAGTATATAGTCTAATATTTCACGGAAAGCTCTTCTCTAGACTTAATTTCTCTAGCGAACTGATGAGCTGTGGACACCTGATGTTTCCAGTGAAGTTTCACTCATGAAGTGGTTAAACCAATGCTGTATTTGGTAGACATGCGGACCGAACCGAAAAACCCGTACCGAAAATTTTCGGTATGAATACGTGTACAGTTACACCCCTATTACACACACAAGGATGCAAAGATTTCATCCATTCTTGTCATACTGCTTCTTTGCATTCATTGATGATTAACTTCAGGTTCTGAGTCAGGTACTGAGTCACATTACACTATTGTAATATTATTGACAATAAGGTTCATAGGGAAATAAAGACAGCCACATAAATAATCAGTGTTCTTCCTTCTAAAACTACCTGATGGTTCAAAAAAAGCAACAATATAAATAATTCACAGCAAGCCTCTTGTATAACCAAAAGCTCAAATGCAAAACCTTCTATTTTGGATAATCCCTTAAACCCCAGGCAAATCATTATCATTGTTCTTTGTTGTGGTGATTTTTTTTTTTCAGCAGTATATTACAGGGTACAGTAATATCCATGGATAACTGTTGTTTTGGACACAAAGTCCTTAATTGTACAACCACAGTAGAACAAAAAAAAGTGCTGTGGTTGTACCAAGGTACAGTAACATCATGAGAAGGTAATAACATGGTACTTGAATGCGTACCATTATAATGATAAAAATATTTACATACCATGTTATTTACATGGTACCTCAACATAGTTCAAAGAACGCTATGGTATTATCTCAGTCCAAAACATGGCATTGCCATGAAACCATTTTATTACCATGGCACCCTGTCAGGCTTGAGATAGATATTCTCAACGATTTGGCCATTTAATTTCTTGAAGGCCATGTCAGATTAGATTTGCCATCCATCCTTGCCACACAAGTTATAATAGCATTCCGGATTTAAACTTTAGTAGCAAACAATTGCAATAGAGTTGGTAAGTGATTCATTTCCATGTATTGGTTCAATTCATCTGCTTAAATCAACTGATTTAAACATTTGTTTTCACTTGTTCCCCAGTGTTACCCAAGTGAAATATAAATAAGGAAACATAAACATTGGTAAATATTACTATGGATTGTTATATTAGTGCATGTGAAAGATAATGATTAAATATTTAGTGAAAAACATGCATTTTTAGCTAGGTATTTTAAAGCTTTTTTAAAAATTTTGATTACATTTTTTTATTTTGATTGAATATTTTTGGCATTTTATGCCTTTATTTTCGATAGGACAGTAAGTGGACAGGAAGCGAAGTGGGGGAGAGAGAGAGGGGGACGGCATAGGGAAAGGTCCGGAAGCAGGGACTCGAACTCGGGACTAGTGGTCGACCGATATTGGTTTTTTGACAGCCGATGCCGATATCTCGGAAAGCAGGGAGACCGATGGCCGATATAATTTGTTTTTAATTTTAATTAATATCCGTCTCACAGAGAACACGCGATCATGCTGGATAAAAATGCACACTTCACAAGATCTCACAGCTGGATACGACTAAGTTTGCAAGGTTTGTGAAATGAAATGTTCATTAGTCATTCAAAGT